TTATTATAATAATTATAATTCAACAATATTATTAAATATTTAAGTATACCTACGTCATTATTTAAAAATATAGGTTAAGTTTAGGTATAGTCTAGGTATTTTAAATTAAATTTGCCTATAATTATAAATTTAGACATTGGCAACACCGCAGGGCTTCTGATACACAGCGAAGTGTGTCTCTTGTTGTTTATGCACCAACGAACAGTTAACCGCCCCGTCCCGCATTACCGGGCTTCGACTAGCCAGTGTAATGCACCGGGCTTCGTATTGATAGCCGTGCATGTATATATATATATATATATACAGTGAGGACGCGTGGGTTGGAACAAATTCATTTAAAATTCAGGGATTTGTTTTTTGAAAAAACGCTCAGACAAGTCGATTTTTATTTTTAGATGCGGTTTTTTTAATAGTAAACTCACTTATACAGGATTACCCAAAAATAAGTTACGACCATAACCTTCATTTTTTTAAATGGAAACCCCTATTTTTTATTTTATTTTTGAATTTTGCATCAAATTCTAAGTATGTTTTATGTACCATGTCCTATACCTAAACTCAACAGTTATCGAGAATTACGAGTGAACATAATAAAATACCGGTTTTCTGAGGATTTTTTTGTATCGAGCAAAACATTTAATTTTAAGTTTATTTTAATTGGTTTTTTAATTCTGGTACTTTTTATTGTCGACTGTATGATAATTTTACTTCAAATAATTAATTTTTAGTTGCAGTTAAAAGGTTTGAAATAATGGCGCGTTTAACTGAGAAGCAGAGAATAGAAATTTTGATGATGGTTGGATATGGCGACAGGACTGAAACACAAGGTAAAGTTTGCGAAATGTTTTATAACAAGGAACTGGAAAGGCCCATTACACGATCGGTAGTTAGTAAGATAAAAAATCCAATTGTTTGTTTTCTGGAACTGGAAGATGGTTGGTTTTATAATTGTATCTTCTAAACTTTTTTTTTTATCTTACTAACTACCGATCGTGTAATGGGCCTTTCCGGTTACTTGTTATTATACATTTCGAAAACTTTACCTTGTGTTTGAGTCCTGTCGCCATATCCTACCATCATCAAAATTTCTATTCTCTGCTTCTCAGTTAAACGCGCCATTATTTCAAACCTTTTAACTGCAACTGAAAATTACTTATTTGAAGTAAAATTATCATACAGTCGACAATAAAAAGTACCAGAATTAAAAAACCAACTAAAATAAACTTAAAATTAAATGTTTTGCTCGATACAAAAAAATCCTCAGAAAACCGGTATTTTATTATGTTCACTCGTAATTCTCGATAACTGTTGAGTTTAGGTATAGGACATGGTACATAAAACATACTTAGAATTTGATGCAAAATTCAAAAATAAAATAAAAAATAGGGGTTTCCATTTAAAAAAATGAAGGTGATGGTCGTAACTTATTTTTGGGTAATCCTGTATAAGTGAGTTTACTATTAAAAAAACCGCATCTAAAAATAAAAATCGACGTGTCTGAGCGTTTTTTCAAAAAACAAATCCCTGAAGTTTAAATGAATTTGTTCCAACCCACGCGTCCTCACTGTATATAATATAATAATATAACTATTCCCTAATATATCCCTATTGTAGAACTAAATGTGCCTTACTTTGCCATTGTATATGATTGCTTTGTCAAGGACTTAATCAAATTAATATTAAAATCTTCTCTATATGTACATTAATTAATAATTATGTACATTTACATTGTAACGTAGAACAGGCTTCCTTGAAAGGCTTCAGGGACTAGATAGTTACTCGAAAGTTCGTCTCGGGAGCTTATAAGGATAATGTGGCGTACTTTAATAAATATAGGAGCAATTAAAGTCACGCCAACGTTTTCTTAATCACGGGTTCGCATGCAATCAGCTAAGAAAGAACGAATTAGTGTTTGCTTTAATTTAATTAGTACGATTAGCAGGTTTTTAGTAAAATGTTTTTATTAAGGCCAAAGACGAAAATCAGGCTCTTCTAAACAAAATATATAATATTTTAGTATGTTAATACCTAATCAATAACACTAGTTTACAAAATCGAAAAAAAATTCTGCCCACTAAAAACGAAAATCACACTCAATTTTTTTTTATGGAACCGTTTTTAAAATATGAATTTTCAATTTTTTTTTTTTCAATTTTCGGAGGTGTTTTGACGTTTTTGAGTATAGCTTGAAATCTAATTGATCGATTTGGTCAAACAAGCCCTTAAATTGAAGGTATTTGAGCCCTATAAAACTTTCTTTTATATACTTTTGATATCGGATTTTGAGGCTAGCAATTTTAATAACTTAAGAAATTTATTTTTATGGCAAAAATTTAGGTCGAAAATTAACATATCGTCCTGGGAAAGGTTTAAATTAAACAGATAACTCCAGTTTGATTTTTTTTTCGTGAAGATGACATTTTTACAAAGAAAACAAGCTAATGTTGATAAAAATACATGGAAAAATGGCGAAGTTATGAATTTTTTAGTGGAAGACCAAAATTCAGCTTTTTGTCGATTTTTATTTTTTTTCTTTTATTTTTGTAATATGTTTATTCTTTTGGAATTTTTTGAGTTATTACAAAATTTTTTCAACGAAAACATTATTCAAAATTTAAATTTGACATGACTCCGCAAACGTGAATTCTTTTGTTTCTCGTGTTGGCATAGTGACATTTTACTGCTATTTTTTGATATTTTAACAAGGTATTTTTATCATGGTTAATAAAAAGTGAAAAATGAGTAGAAGAAGTAGAGAGTTCGAGTGCGTAAATAACCCGCACAATTTGGGCCACGCATCGCGACGTAAGTGATGAGCACGGAGAACGTTTTTACCACCAAATGAAGGCTATGGACTAGCGGTATGACGGCTTCTGGGATGCATGGTTGATTACATTTGGTCCCTCATACGAGAAACGGAATACGAAAGCAACAAAAAACAAAGAAGCCAGAATTTTTTGAAACCTATGCTTATTAGAACAGAATAAAACTTTGTTTAATATTTAATATATAATTTACTTTCAATATTTAATGTTTAAAATAAAAATCAATGTTCAATATTAAATTTTATATATTTAATTCAATAAAATGAAGAAAAAACAAAAAATTCTCGAAAAACCGAATTTTGGTCTTCCACTGAAAAATTCATAACTTCGCCATTTATCCATGGATTTTTATAACAGCAGCTTATTTTATACTCGAATATTCTTTTCGATTTCTATCTTTCCCGGAAAGATATGTAAATTTTTGACCTAAATTTAAAAAAAAAGGACTTTTTTAACTTCATAAAATCGCCAGTATCAAACTACTGAGCCAAACCAAAACTATACAAGAGAAAGTTGTAAATGGCCTTTGATTTAAGTCCTTGTTTGGTCAAATCGATCAATTAGAACTCGAAGTATACTCTAAAACGTAAAAACACCTCAGAAAATTAACAAAAAAACAATTGAAAATTCATATTTTGAAAACGCTTCCATGAAAAAAAAAATTAAGTGAGATTTTCGCGTTTAGTGAGCTAAACTACACAAGAAAAGCATAGTGAGAAGTATGTGGCTGTAAACTAGTGAAATTAAATGTAAACCATTAGAATTTCATTCGTTGTAAAGTGCTAAATCACTGTATTGTTATATCAGTATGCCGACCGTTGCAACGCGTAAGTATTTACGTTAAAATTAACGCTGCTGTTGTCTGTCGCCTTTTGACCAATCAGCTTGAGACTTATCCGGAAACTCAAACTTATAGCATGTCAACATGAGAGTATGAGTATGAGAACGTATGGCTGGCCGCATCGCCATCGCCTTACACTGATCTCCCAGAGTTCTTTTTACCAACTTTTAGTTCTCATACGTATCCCGCAACTGCACAGCATTACATGTGTTTGATGGATCAGAATTTTCACCCCGACTAGAAAATCTCTCTTCGGAGGTCGTGTATGACAGTTTCGATGGTCGAAGGGCCCCCCCGGAATTTTGTCACCGGGCCGGGTCATACGCCCGGTTTAGGCTAGTGGAGTGCGGGACAAGGAGGGAAAACATTTTGGTTTTTGGGGGACATTGGACTGACACAAAACTAAGTACAATCCGGAATCCACCTAAACCAGGGTTTGGGTGGTTAGTTCGCTGCCAGGACCTATCCTTTATGGCCTTGAAGTACTATCTGTTCGTCTGCTGAATTTCAGTTTTATTTTAGTTAAGACTTATAGTGGTGTGTTGGCATGTCTATTGTTGTTGTCTAGGTGACTGCACTTTTTGTTTATAAATATATGTCTATTGCGTATCACCGCTGTTTGTTTAGTTTTGGTACTAGTGTATGTTTTCTACCGATTTACATATATTACGAATAATTACGTTTGCTGTCCTGTACGAATTCTTTTTCTTGTTTGTCTGTTTTGTTTTTCTGGTTTAAATGCGTTGAAGACGCTTAACCTGTTCGAGAAAATGCAATATTACTTTCTTCTTTGAGGATGCAAGTTAAATAATGCGAATTAAAGCTACTAAACTTATCTTTTGCTGCTATTGTCCACTTGACCCTCTCTTTGGTTACTTCTGGAGACTGGTACATTGAATTCACCTGCACAGGCAGAGTTACTGATTTCTTATATTCTTCACTTGTTGTATTGCACTGCACTACTGTTTTATCGCTTTGCTGATTCTGTTAAACATCGGGAGACAGGTACCTTGATTTACCTGCACAGGTACCTAACCAACTTAACCATATTGTTACTCATAGGCTTTTATTATTTCCTTACTCTTTAGAAGCGATGGCTTGCGCGTCTGCATCTTATGATTTCTCAAGTTATGATCAACAATATATAATATCAACGTTAGTATTCAAATTTGACGTAAGCCATCCGTCATATTAATGATTTTATTCTCTCTTTTATCTAGCTCCTTTAACCTTTTTATTAGAAAATACAGGGTGGTACAAATTATCAAGTAATACATTATTTATTATACTCAAATAATTTCCAAATTAATGTATTTTCTTATCTGATATTTCAGGACCCCCGTTTCAGCAGCGAAATGGATCGAAAAACCGGCTACAGAACGAACTTGGTGCTTTGCATGCCGATCTGCAACTACGAGGGCGACGTGATCGGCGTCGCACAAATCATCAACAAGACCAACGAATCTAAGGAGTTCACGCCGCACGACGTCGAAGTTTTCAAGAGATATCTCACGTTCTGCGGCATCGGCATCCAGAATGCACAGCTATTCGAAATCTCTGTATTGGAGTACAAACGAAATCAGGTCGGTTACGTTTTCTTTATGCCCAGGCTTTTCTATTGCATATTAATCTGTACGAATTTGACAAAAAAAAATGCATTTTAAAATTTGGTATTTTTACATCAATAAAAAAAACTGTCAATATTATAAAAATCACATTTGTATTAATTTACAAAAGTAAATTTACCAACTTAAAAACAAATAATTTCGTAGAAAAATAGTAATACTACAGTAGCGGTTTCTTCATAGGAGCACATGAGCACGTGCACCCCCAATGGGGTCCCCCATAAATAATTTAAAAGTAATAATAAAATATGTTTAATTGTTAAAATCCATTGCAGCAATAGAAACGGAATGAAACGAACGAGCTTTAGGTGCTAAGATGCCTATTTCCTTTCGTTGAACATGCATGTCCATGAACTACATATGTTTCGTAACATATATGCCTATTCCCTTTTAATTATTTCGTCTATAGACGCATGCGCTCAAAGAATTTCTTAAACATTTATGTTATAAACATAATCGGTGTCTAATTTGCTATTCCGTTTCCAAAATTCGCTGTTTGGTAACATATATGATGTTGTACGTTTACGAACTCTTGCCTGAGAGGTGCTGTTAGCCAATATTTGAGGTTTTTTATTTTGCATTAATCATAAATTAAATAATAATAAACTGCGGCGATGTTGGGTACAGTATTTTTTTTTTTTTTTTTTTTCTTTGGCCGGCGGAGAAATTCTTTACGAACACTCGGTTCCTCTTGGGGCCCCGAGTAGTGTGGGACTCCGTCTATTGACGTATACCCACTAAAACTCCCCCGTTAGGTGGTTCAAAGCCCTGCACTGCGGTTTGCTTTCGCAATCCTATTGTGCCCTACATGGTATTACTTCCATAGCTCTAGCTCCGTTGCTTCTATGAAGCGCAGTAGCCGAGGCAGTGGAAGCAATTTTAAAAGTTCTGGTGTGAGTTTAGACTCTCCCAGGTGTGTTCTTCTTAAGGTGTTGAATCCCTCACATTGACACATAATGTGAAGAGGTGTTTCCTCTTCTTCTTCGCATCCTCTACACAAGGGGTCATCTGTCATCCCCATTTTGTGAAGATGTTTTTTGAATGGAGCATGGCCTGTGAGAAGGCCTAATGCTTTTTTTAGTTGGGTCCTGGTATATGTCCTCATTGGTTTCTGCCCTTCAGCAGATGGATTGTCCAAAAGTGCTTTCGAATGCTCCAGACCAGACAGGCTTTCCCAGTATTGTTTGTGTTGTAGTTCTGTCCAGTCAATTAGTTTTTTCCTGGATGATTCTTGGCTGGTGCCGCATGTGGGTTCCGGCCCCATCAGCAGGGTTTCGGCTTCATCAGCTGCGAAGTTTGGCTTCCACCTCATCGAACTGTTTCTGCCTTCTTCTTGCACAAGGATAAGAGTTATCTGGTTTTGTGCTTCGGTTAATGCCGTCATATCTCTCAGACATTCTAGTACGGCCTTCGAATTGATTTCAAATGCCTCCAGTGCCTGGATTGGTTCTGGTTCGTGTGTAATGATGGTGAGCAACTTCTCCGTGGGATTGCTCTCCCTCATTCGTTGGAAACCCAATTGTATGGCAATGATGCCCGCTTGAAGATCGGTTATCTCTTTTCCCAGGTTTAGTATTTCTTGACTGCCCTGTTGAGATACCTCTTTTATGCCCGCAGAAACACCGGTCTTTGACCGCTTGTGTTCTACGTACCAGATTAGGTTTTCTTCTTGCCTGAGTCGGGCGATTTGGTTGTTTATCTCCTCAGCCTTTATCCTTTTTGAGATAAAAGCTTTATTGAGGTGTTTGACCTTGGCTTTGTCTGTTCTAATGGCTAGACTGCCAGTATTTTCTAGCTCTTCAAATATGGCATTATGCCTGATGGTGGAAATAACTTCGGCCTTATTTGAGATTAGTCTTTGGGCTCCCGCTAACGCTTCAGCTTTAATCTGAATGTGTAGAGGGGGGAGTCCTAGTATGTTTTCCATGGCTGCGGTCGGTGTAGTTGTCATTGCACCAGTTATTCCCAAGCACGCCAGTCTTTGGATTCTGCTGAGTGTCTGTTTTACAGTCCTTGTTTTTGTTGCGTGCCACCATATTAGCGCCGCGTAGGTAATTATGGGTCTGACCATAGCTGTGTACACCCATTGTACCATGCCTGGTGACAGTCCCCAAGATTTACCAAATGTTCTTTTACAGGTCATGAAGGTTTTTATGGCCCTATTTGTTATGTTCTCTATATGCATCCGATAGGTGAGTTTTTTATCCAGTGTAACTCCTAGATATTTAACCTCGTTTTTCAAGGGCAGCGTTTCCCCGTAGAAGATTAGATTTTTTACGGGTTCTAACTTTCTTTTGCGAGAAAAGGCGATAAGGGAAGTTTTTGTGGGATTTACCCGAAGTCCCTCCTCATTGCACCAGTTTTCGACAGCGTTTAGCGCCCTTTGCATTTTGGTAAACACATGGGCTGTGTTGCTGCCTCTGATAAGGAGTACAATGTCGTCCGCATATCCTATTGCGTATATTTCTTTGTTTTCCAATCGTGTCAGTAAACTGTCCGATACGAGGTTCCATAGCAGGGGTGATAGCACCCCCCCTTGTGGTGTCCCTCTGCACACTTTAGCTCTAACAGTTGTGTTGTTAAGAGTGGTTCTGGCTCGTCGTTGAGCCAGCATCTGTTTGATCCATTTGCCAACCAGAGGTTCTATGTTGCGATCTCTTACTGATCGATTTATTGAGTCATATGACGTGTTGTCAAACGCTCCTTCGATATCCAGGAATGCCCCAAGGGCCACTTCTTTGTTGTCTAAAGATTGCTCAGCCCTTTGGGTTATCTCATGGATGGCGGATTCGCAAGACTTGCCTGTTTGGTAGGCAAATTGATTTCGGTGTAGAGGCCTTCTGTGCAGTACTTCTTCCCGTATATGTTGCTCTATCAGTTTTTCCTCTGTTTTCAGAAGAAATGATGTTAGGCAAATTGGTCGAAAGGATTTTGGTTTGTCATAGGAGGCTTTTGCTGGTTTTGGTATAAAAACCACCAGTGCCTCTCTCCATCCTTCCGGTATGTGATTGAGAGCTAGGCTGGCTCTTAGGATTTTGCACAGTCTTGGTAGCAGCAGGTCTTGGCCCTGTTGTAACATGGCTGGTATGATTCCGTCAGTTCCGGCAGATTTAAATGGTTTGAAAGTTTTTATTGCCCATTTAACTTTTTCGTATGTTATTATTTTTCTCGATAGAATCCAGTCCTCCTTTTTTCCCCTTTTTATTTCGAGTGTGGTTTGGTTTTGGATTTCCGAATTTTCGAGTATGATTGATCCTGGAAAGTGTGTCCTTAGCATAAGCCTAAGTGTCTCACTTTCAGTAGTTGTGTGTTCTCCTTCTGGGTTTAGGCATGTTCCCAGGGTCTGCTGTGGCCCTTTGGCCATGGCTTTATGCAGTCTGGAGTAGGCCGGTATCTCTGATAGTTCCCGGCATAGTTTTTGCCAACCTAGTTTCTTGGCCTTTTTGATGGCATTGTTATATTCGGTTAGGTGGTGTCTGTATAGGTCCCATTCTCCCGTTCTTTTCGCTTTGTTGAACAACTTTCTTGTTTTCTTTCTGCGGTTTTCTAGGTCAGAGTTCCACCAAGATGGGCCCTCTTTTTGTTTTGAGCAACGCAGTGGACATGCCTGCTCGTAGGCATCCTTAATGGAATCTGTCACCGAGTCGGTGAGTAATTCAAGATCAAAGGTATCCTTCGCCTCTTTTGGGCAGCTCTCCAAATTACGTTCTAGTACCTCTTTATATAGGTCCCAGTTCGTTTTCCTTGGGTTTCTGTACTCCCGTTGGGTGTTAATTGTCGATTCAAGGTTAAACCTTATGTATCTGTGGTCTGACAGACTAATTTCATTCGATACATGCCACTGTTTCACCAGTTCACTTATGCGTCCCTTTGACAGTGTTAGATCGATTACTTCTCTTCTTGCCACGGTTACGAAGGTTGGCTCGTTCCCAGTGTTGAGAATATTAATATCTGTGGAGATACAGTAGTTGAGTAGTGATTCACCACGTTTGTTGATGTCAGTGCTCCCCCACATTGTGTGATGTGCATTGGCATCACATCCTATTATCAGGTTAGCCGATCCAAGTTGTTCCACCAGAGACCTGAGCATGGCGGCCGGTGGTTCCCCTTGTTGGTCATGAGGAAGGTACGCCGATGTAAGTATTACATCTTGTTGGCTCCCTTCTAATGTTAGATTAAATTTTAATCTTACTGTCGCTGTGTCTTTATCGCAGTAAGTCCACAGTGGCATAGCATCCATGTTACCTCTGACGAGAATACAACTTCTTGGGTTCGTCTCATTTGGGTGTGAAACAAGCCTCCCCCTGAGACCCCCCAGACCCCTTATCTGGCCCCTGTACACATACGGTTCCTGAATAAGGGCAATATGTATCTCGTCAGCGGCCATATACTTGCATAGTGCCGCTGTTGCTGCCTTGCAGTGGTGGAGGTTAATCTGTATTATCCTCACTACCATGCGGGGCGATTAAAGTGTGGACGAGGGCTCTTGTGGCGCCTTCTCGTCTGTTGGGGTCTGTCCAGTGGGTACAGTATACAGTACACTATCATTATCAAACATAATGATTGTTTTAAATAATGAATTAATTACTTTTTCATAATTAATACCTAATTAATTATAATTATATATGAGGCCTGTCAGAGCAAAGTCAACAATCTCCCGTCAGACTAAAACTGAGTAAATTGAGATAATTGATTTTGGTATTTTAAATTCTAGATTTGTAATTTTTTTTATATATTATATTGAAATATTGTTGTTGTTAGTCTACTAGCCAACTACAAGGTCTCCAGGATGCTTAGTATAGGTGAAATCGGTAATTATAAATTGGAGATTGCTGACTTTGATATGAATTGCTGGAGATTGCTCATTTTGTTGTAAACGTTTAAGGATTTAGCTCCTTTTGCAGCACATAAACTTTATCATCTTATAGATAATTAGTTAAAGTACAGTCTCCGCCAAAAATCTAATTTTTGACCAAAAGTGGAGATTGTCGGTTTTGCTATGACAGGCCTCAAATGATAAATAATTATTCATAAATGAGAATAGGACAATATATATTTAAAAAAAAAATAGATAAATATAAAATATAAAATACTATTAAATAATATTACATAAAAATAAATATAAAAAATTAGCCAAACAAAAGTTTAAGTACCTACTAATAAAATACAAAAAATTATGCAGCTAAAACTGTTTGGTTTTAGTTTTATTAATACCTTTTAAAACCTCTACACCAAAGAACAAAAGAACACTCTACACCTTTGATACTCATCAGTTTGAGTTGGACTTTCTCTTGGCCTCTTTTTGCCTCTCTGTTGTAGAAGGGGTCCTTCCAAACATCAACACAGTTTGTGTTGACCTTAAAGGCTGGTCAATGCAGAGTTCAAAAGATGGTAATACATCCACTATTAACTTCCCTGTTAATTTATCCTTAATGTCATTAAGTTGTTTTACTGGCTCCTCGACATTGCCAGTCTCCATGTGAAAAGTGCCTAGATTCCTTGCCCTTTTCGTTACATGGATCTTTAAGTCACTAAAAGTATGTGTACAAATAAGTAACAAATAATTATTTCAAGATATTTTAAGATTACCCTAGTTGTTTTTAAGTTCATTTAATATATTATTAAATATCACCAATGATTTTAATAGTATATTATGTATCAAGTTTTATAAACGCTATTTTAGTTACGAGTTTTATTAGGCACGAGCGAAGCTTGCAAACGAGTGTTTAATAAAAACGAGTGTCTAGAGAAGTTTATAAAACGAGTTGCATACTATACTTTATCTACGACGAACATAAATAAGAATTTAAAGGCAATTTTATTTAATAAAATTTGACATTTAACAAATTTAACCTCACTTTTTCGCAATTTATAATAAAGCTAACTTCAGCCCGTGACTAAAATGCCCAAAAGCCACTGTTATTAACTTCAGCCCGTGACTAAAATTCCATAAAGTCACAACTCGTCAATGTAGGAGTAGATAAAAATAATTATTTAAAACACTGTTACTTTATGCATATCATGATCTGCGACTATTAGGTTATAAAACTAAGATACTTTCTGTCCTAAAAACATTTATCGCTGTTCAGAACGATCTAAGGTCAAGTCTTTAAAGATACACGAAACGGAATACCTTTTAACATAGGTGATGTTTGGGTTGTAGTTAATAAACAAACATGAAGAAGAATAAGCGCCCTAAATTTTGGCACGGACTCCACTGTAAAGTGCTCATAAAACATTTTCTTTACTTTCACTGTGTAAAACTGTAAATACATTTCGATTTAAACCTTTATAATTGTGTTTATAAAATTTAAAAATTTGACATTTGACGGTGACACACGGATTCCCCTATTGTTTCATAGATGGCGCTCTATACAAATTTTTGATTTAAATCTTTTTAAGATAATAATAAGTATTTGTCCTAGAAAAAGTATAGTATGCACCTCGTTCATAAACTTTTCTATACACTCATTAATTTAAACACTCGCTCGCAAGCTCGCTCGTGCGATTATGAAATTAAATTCGTGTATAAAATGGCGTTTATCAAACTTGATACATAATATACTATTATCTACTCCTACATTGACGAGCTGTGACTTTATGGCGTTTTAGTTACGGGCTGGAGTTAGCAATAGTGGCTTTTGGGCATTTTAGTCACGGTCTAAAGTTAGCTTTATTATAAAATGGGGAAAAGTGAGGTTAAATCCGTTGACATTTGACAGATGTCAAATGTTGAACAAATAAAATTGGCTTTAAATTCTTCTTCGTGTTCGTCGTAGATAAAGTATAGTATGTAACTCGTTTTATAAACTTCACTAGACACTCATTTTTATCAAACACTCGCTCGCAAGCTTTGCTTAATACATAATATACTATTTTCTACTTCCACCTTTAAAACGCCCATTATCGTACATGTTTCCATAACACTTGTCACCTTTTAAATACATATTGACAAGCTGTGGCTTTATGGCGTTTTAGTGACGGGTTGAAGTTAGCTGACAGTTTTCAAGTGTCATACAATCGTTAAAATAAAGTGCCCTTCTTTCTACTAAAGGTGAAAATTATTTTATTATCTTAATATAAAAATACAAAAGTATTAAATAGTTTCTCAACGCCAATATTTGAAAAGTTTATATTCAGTCGTACTGACCTTTTGATTTTGCCGGCGCTAAACTAGATTTAACTGATTTCGGGTAAAGATTCCACCGTGGAATGCCTAGAAAACTATCTTTTCTCGATTTTTATGTAAGAATGTCATATTCTCGCACGCAAAATCGTTGAAGAATGAAGCTCATTCTTAAACGATTTTTGGTAACATTTAGTTTTTAAGTATTGGTACCCCCAAAATGTCAAACTGATTAATAACCTCAAATTCATTACTTTTATTGAAAATGAAGCCTTTATTATTGTTTTGTAATATAAAGTTTGCTCCAACAATGCATTTTAATGCAAAATTTTAAGTTTAATGTGTAAAAGTGCAGTTCAGGTTGTACTTGTGCAGGATAACAAATATTGTCATTTTGTGTTGCCAACTGACATTTTGCGAGAAAAATCCCCTAACTAACAACGACCACAAAACAATTAAAAAAACCTAAATAAAAGTTAAAATCGAGAAAATAGTATAAATCACACGTTGCAGAAGGCTATTCTCGCACTCATTCGTTCGTCCACTCGCTCCTTCGTCGCTCGAGGCCAAATTTCGAATTCGTGCGAGAATATGTGGCCTTCTGCAACTTGTACTTTAATATACTATTCTTTCACTGTAAAAAGCTGCTTCTACTGCTACTGCTTCTGCTTCTATCGGATTTAGTTAGTCCATTTTCAAGGGATAAATTTCGATTTACACTAAAAAATCTGTCATTTGACATCCGACATAAAACACACGTTGAATGGTTATTCTATTGTTTTATAGATGTCGCTCTATAAAAATATTTTATTTAAATCATTTTTAGATAAGTATTTATCGTAGAAAGAGTATGCAACTCGTTTATAAACTTTTGTACACTCATTTAGTTACTAATTAATTAAATACGTGACTAAAATGGCGTTTATCAAACTTGATACATAATGTACTATTATTATAATTAGTTCTCTGTTGCATTAATATTTTAACAATTATTATAACACTTTAACGGTAGAGTGCTGGCTATTATCTGCAAATAAGGATAGATACATACATATTTCAATCTTTAATCTGATATTTTTTTATTTTTTGAAAAGCTTAAAAAAGTAATAATAGTCGTGCAAGCCACATATAACCATATAACCACAGACCATGTGTGCATATAACATATGTTATTATTATTATTTTTCAGATTTTGCTTAACCTGGCGCGTAGCATATTTGAGGAGCAGAACAACCTCGAGTGTTTGGTGACGAAAATAATGAGAGAAGCCCAGGATTTATTAAAGTGCGAACGATGCGCCGTTTACTTATTGGATCTGGACTGCTGCGAAGCGGTAAGTTAACTTAATTGCTAATATTTACGCCAAATCCCTAACTTTGGGGATGTCTCGACTCCTCGGATCTTTTCTTCTACTTTCTTGTTTTTGTTTCGCCCGCTACGCTACGGCGCACAAGTCTTGATTTTAGTTTGTTATGTTTTAATAAAAATCTTTTTTAAGCTTTTGGTGAAAATTTGCTTTAACAGCATCCTATATTAAAATTCTGCTAAATGCAAGACCCTCGGAGCAATAAAAAGAAAAATTAATTGTCAATTTAAAATTCCAAACATTTTTTGATGAGATACTCATCAATTAACAAAAAACGCGAATGTAAACGAAATTATTGAAAAATTACCATGAAAGACGTACATTTCCACCAATCAAAAAAAAGTTTAATTAATATGCAGATTTTTAATCGATTAATGTGACTAATTAAATAACAAAATGATAAATTACCATATTCGAACCTTTTAATTAAACCTGAGTACTTTGTGTTCTAACGATAGCGGTTTTTAATTAAGTTTAAATTGTCTGCTTATTTTATTTCATTGCTTAAGTAGATGTAGTTTTGTTGCGGATCAAAGAGAAATGTATAATCAGTAGGTGGATTTATCCTACGCTGTAGCGTAGTGCTCCGAGCAGCAAGGGGCCCCGAGGGGCCCACAGTAAAAAATAGCTTTTAATGAAATTTTTAAATTTTTAAATTTGATGTCTAGAAAACTTATCAAAATGTGCGGTTATTAAAATAAGAAAAAAAGAGTTTATTCAACACCCATCTTCTCCACTAGATGCATCTTGTGGCCAAAATAGGATTTCTTTCACGGGCTAAAGGTAGCTTTAAGTTGAAAAAATGTGAGGTTAAAACTGCTTAACAACTGTCAGATTGGTAACTCGCGTTACAATCAGATATATCATCAAAACGACAATACTTAATTCTAAAAGTTTAACCAACATCAACAATTTTATTTAAAAACTTGTACTGTACTACTTGTAATAAAGACAAAATTCTTTTAGATTGTTATTTTTCACTTGCTTAACATCCTAAAAACATACGATTTACCTTTTCATAAACTTTTTGTTTTATCTGCGAATTTAACAATAGAACTACTCTTAAATAACAAAAATAGATCAAACATAAAGAAATTTATACAAATATTAATGTTTTTTTATACATTTGGTTTTAAAAAACAAACAACAAACAGTGGTAATTCGCGTTACATTAAGCTGATACCTTTTGACATAAAAATGTTTAAAAAATATAGGAAATAAGTTATGACGCTTGCCAAATTGACAGCTCTTAAATTTAATTTGTATAATAAATAAACAAAGTAAAGTCGTTGCTTAAAAACAAATAATTTGTAGATAATTTTCCTTTTCATGTCCGCATTTTTATGGAATGTCCCAGATGACTAATGAAACATCAAATAAAATAGGCTTTAAATTCCTTGTGGTAGTCGAATAAAATTTGTGTGCGACTATTGGTCAAAAGAGGAGTTTCCACTCGCGCCACTTGCGTGACAAACTACTCGCTCGGAGAATCTTCTCTTCCTCCCACTAGTCGCACAATATACAGTGTGTATTAAAACCAGGGACCCGGACCGAAACCGAAAAAAACCGAAAACCGGAACGGAACCGGTTTTTTTTTCCGAACCGAAACCCGAACCGGAACCGTTTTCGCTTTTGATAAAATCTGTTGGACCGGAACCGAAACCTTTATTTGCTTTCATTCTAATAACATTATATAACATATTAGGTTATAGATTAAAATTACGTAAAACAAATAACCTCACTGGAACCGCTTAAAACCGAAAAGAACCGAACCGTTATAACTCCACGAAACCGAAACCGGAATCGGAACCATTAAAACGAAAATAGGGTGAACCAAAACCGTACCGGAAGTGCCAAACCCCGCCCACTGTGGTAGGGATTTTAGAATTATTTTTATTTGAGAATTTATGGGTTTTATTTTTATCGAATTCGTTTGTTTTGTTTTAATGCATTTCTGCAAAAAAAAACTAAGTATTGTTTAAAATCCATTAAATTCCAGTTAATGGCGAACATGTATTTCTTAAAAACTATACACATTTCCCTACGACAGCGTCGAAGCTACTGAACAAACACAGTAGATCAAACTGCATGCCCTTGTATCTGGCTGCATGCCTAAAAGGGTTGTTTTTCTTATTTTTTAATATTAAAAGTAATAAAATTAACTAAATCAAATTATTTTTGACATATTATTAATTTTTTTGTTATTTTTAAAGTTTCGAACAAATAAAATTAAACTTTTTATTAAATAATTGTAATCGTTTTCTTCTGATTTAAAACAACCGGCAACTATGGTTCGTAAGAATGGCTTGGTTTAAACCACGGCCAATTAAAGTTTGTTTCTTTTTCTCTGATCAGAATATAATTTGTCATCCTTGTCTCCAGCCTTACTTACTTGATTCTATACAGTCTGTATATTATATACCTATATACAGAAGTCGCGCACCACCTTAAAGCTGTATAATCTACGGACCCCCAGAAATCCCAGAAAATTGTTAAAAAAATCTACCTTTGTGTCATTCCATCGTTTCGGGTGTTACATTTGTTTAACCAAAGTATAAATTATTATGTATTTTAAAATATTATTTTAGCAATTAAGGTGCCTCTACGTTTTTAGTTGTTCTATCTAAATTGAAGGTATGCAAAAAAGGTAAAATCATTATTATTGCCAAAAATCGGTAAAAAAATTGGTAGAAACATAATAATTGACGAAAATCGCAGTATTCGGTATTTTGGTAGGTCTGTTTGCATTTCGGTAGAAAAATACTACTTATTGCATTCTTCAAGCAATACACACACACACATATATCGACATATGTATAAAACAGTTGTAACACCCGAAACGTTTCGGGTTATCAAGAAAAAAACATATCAAATTAGTCTTATGCTCAGATATATCTGATACTAATATATTAGTATTTTAAATCATTACCACCATAACCTTACTTTTACTAAATATTATTACACTAATCAATCTGAAGGTATAATAATAAAACAATTACCTGATTTTTCGTTTTGGGTGTTACAGTGTCCAAGTAACGAGAAAACACACTTATAACGTGATAATTATCAAATTTTTTCGGGACTGTCACGCAATCCACCAATACCAGTAAAAAAAATTAAACAATAATTTGATTTTCTCTTTTTATAGTACACCCGTTGGAGGGCGAAGTAGTCACATAACAAAACTTTAATACTTGTTGCCTATAAAACTAAACCCCCCACCTATCCAACCTATATCTTGTCTATGAAATACAGTCCCTATTAGGAATTTATAAAACCGTAGATTAAATCTATAAAGACAATCTAAACAAATATTAACATTAAAATCAAACACACCGGCTTAATAACTTGGATTTTTTATGCATTCTTCTAACACAACGAACATACTCAGTGAGTATTACTTAGTAAAGAAATTCATATTATTATTTAATATAAATGCTATGACAGAATCTAGTTTTGAATTTTAACTGTCTCTATGATTTGATGTCAACAGAAAACAAATGAATTTACCAATTAATTATTGTGATAATCAATTTTTGCGCATCATGTTGCCAAACGCATGCATATTGTTAAAGTTAAAATCCTAAATTGCATATTTTTCATAAGATGAAACATTAATTCCACATAAAATCATTGTTGGAATACATAAGACCTAATCTAAATAATACGTCTTAAAAGAATATAATTAAGGTAAACTTATTATTTTTATGTTTAAAAACTGAATGGTTACGCTCTAATATCTTTTTAAATAATCAATTTAGGTTTTTTTTACAGTTTTCTGCGATTTCTGGGGGTCTATACCTTTAAGGGGGGGACACCCTGTATATCACATTTTATTACACAATAAGAAGTTATTAATAACCGTTTTATTTAATCTATAAAAAAGAATCTTAAAAAATTAAACCAGCAACAATAAAAGTTACAATTTTAAATTTTTTATTTTGATAAATTTTTCATAATGTATTAAAATGAAGATACAACAGTAACAGTCAATGTTAAGACTAAAAGATTTTTGTGTTTTCTTGTTTGTATAATAATATTTTTAAGTATAATACTGCCCTGTTAAAGAATGACATTTTTGTAAAATTATGTTGAAGGGATTTTTGTGGTTGCTGTGATGTGTCTTATTAACTAATACTATAATATTGTTAAGCGAAACTGCTTATTGATTCAGACGACAGTTTAGCTTAATAAAGTAATTGAATTCAATTATAATGGAGTATACTCCATTAACATATGTTGATATCAATGTCTTACTAAAATGTCTTTAACCCAATTTTTTAAAAATGCCAGATAGAAGTATAGAAATTAAATAAAGTGTTAACAAAAAATACCCTACCTACACAAAAGCCCTGTGTATAATGTAGAAATTTCCTTGCTATTGTCTCCGTTGTGCCCTCGGTTGTGCCAGACTTAAACAAATGGCTTTTGGGGTTAATGAATTAAATAATTTATTTTTGACCTTTACGCGAATCCTAATAATCAGTTTTATTCGCGGTCCCAACATTAAGCTCAAATTACATTTTGAAATAATTGCAGCATTTATATTCTTATGCCGCAAGGGACAGTACATTTTATGACCTAATTAAAAACTAGCGCTATTAAAAAAGTTATGCCAAATTTCTATTTTAGTTTAAATTAAATATTGGTTTTGATAATTATAATTATAGGTAAAACGACTCTTGTAAAATCAAAAAAAAAATTAAATTAATTTTTATTTTTGGGGGTTCAGCCCTGCTTAAAACGGTTTCATATAAACTGCGCACCACTCAATGTGTCGCGACCAAAAATTTCGTCCTTTTTCAAAACGACATAACTTTTTTGTTTCTTGAACGATTTTATTTTGGTTTGTGATGTCTGCTAGCCCCATTCTCTGGCAATTCATGCTACAAATATGAAGCTCACGTCTTCAAGTAAATTTACTACAGGGTGATATGTAAAACAGTGAAAAATTTCAATAACTTCAT